AAGAATGATGAGGGCAATGAATGTACAAATGTGCTTTACACAATTGATGTATGTATGGATTGGGATAAGAGTTGTATGAGCCCCTAATAAAACGAATAAAAAAAACAAACAAAAAAACCCTTTTTTCCATTTAGTGGTGGTGTGATAGAATCTTGTTGTAAGTCAAATCTGAGTTTTCTAAATTAGTAATGAAATAGAATTATTTACAATTGATTATTGGTCATTCGTATTTCCTTTCATAGGATATATTTATTCACAGCATTTATGTAAGCTATTAGGTTATATATATTTCTTTAAGAATATATGTATGTTTGTGTGATGAACGAGCCTTCTCTCTCTACATTCTAGATACTAGGAGTTGAATTTTCTTTCTTTTCTTTATGCTGCATTATTTACTCACCATTTCCTTTTGTGCATACTTCGTGAGTTATGAACTTGTTCCTCCTAATGCTTGAGTCATGAAAGGACCTAGTCTCTTTGTCTATCCAATTGACATTTTCATATATTTTAAAATCATTTGTGCACAATGAACAAGAAATACAGTTACTAGTTTTTCTTCTTAGCATAATTTATTGAAGCGTCCATATTTTCCAAAGGCATCTTCTGTGCCAATTCTTTCATATGGTTTCCGTACAGGTTGGCAGAGACAAGGCTGGTTCATCACACTGCTGCCTCTTCAGGGCCACACAGCCTTCCTTGTGACTGATCTGAGAAGGTACTCCTGAATTCTTGCCAAGGGGAATGTGAGCAAGAGCGAGGCACTAGGTCAAGGTGTGCGTACACACAGTCTTCCCTTGTGGTTCGAGGCAGAGCATCTTGAGAAGGTGGAGTTAGACACTGAGGGCACTCTAGGATTTCAGGGCAGAGGAGAGCACCCAGGGGAGACCTGTGACCTCAACTGGACCGTGAAACGAGTGAAACGTCAACCTTGGTTGATTTTGCAGGGTTGCATCACGTGGCCGAAAATTTTAAGTGCTTCCTTGGCATCTCACAGGCCCCCAAAGACTAACGTGAGTTCCCTTGCTCTTGCTAGATATGCCCCTGACCCAATGAGAAAGGCTACCCCCCCCCAGCCCCTTGCACCCCTATCAGCTAGATCCAATTCATCCCAGCCCTCAGCCTAACATGTCTCCCTGCCTTGCCAATCCACAGAATTTCTTTCTTTCTTTTTTAAAATCATTTTATTGGGGCTCATACAACTCTTATCACAATCCATCCATCCATCCATTGTGAAAAGCACATTTGCTATCTTCATTCTCAAAATATTTTCTTTCTACTTGAGTCCTTGATATCAGCACCTCAATTTTTCCTCTCCTTCCCTCCCTCACTCCACTTCCCTCCCTCATGAACCCTTGATCATTTATAAATTATTATTATTTTGTCATGTCTTACACTGTCCGATGTCTCCCTTCACCCACTTTTCTGTTGTCCGTCACTCAGGGAGGGGTTTAT